CTAAAGGGGGGGGGGGTAGTAAGAGAATAAATTAAATAATGTATTAAGGCCATCCCAACTATTACAACATTTTAAAAATTCTAATATTTAAAGGAGAAGATTTATCTAGATGAAATCTAGGGAATTTCTTTAGTAGTGTTTGTATTGATGATGTAATTATCCTTATAGCTACCATTTATTGAGCATTTATAAAACTACATGCAGGGGGTGCTAATTGTCCGCGTCCTGGCCGTTCATCCTGACAGCTGCGTGAGCGTTACCCCCGTTGCAGCTGAGCCCATGGCTAAGAGAGATTCTGGGCATCTACAGAGACAGTAAGTCCCAAGGGAGACAGGATCCAGACCAGCTCTGCTGACCCCAAGGCATGACCGCTGAGCTAGTCAGGCAGTGGCGGCTTCTGGACCGTGTCGTAACTACCTGCAGTCACTAGCAGCCGGGCTGTTCGTTCGTGTGGTTAGGCCCTAGAACGGCAAAGAGAACTTTAAAATCACTCAGGCTGTTTCGTTTCTTACTGGAACGGCTAGATTTATCCCTACCTCCTGGAATAGAAACTCAGCAATGACAGAGCCTTCCTCCTGAATTCAGCGCTTGGTTCTCTCATGGCCGAGCAGCGGGCATAAACGGAAAGGCTATTTCACTCCTTTCCCTGTTTTTCGGTGGAAAAATAAGCCATCGGCAGAGGGTAGTGAATTAGAGAGGACGCGTTCAGATTTTTCTCTGCCATCATAACCGACAGGCTGCTCAACTGTGTTTATTTAAGACCATTTTTTTACATAATAGGCTTTTGACTATTATTACAGCCGTCAGCTCCACAAACAGAATGAAGATACATAACGACACTGGATTTACTGGCAGCTGATCCAGTAACAGTTAGAAAGCAGTTAAGATTTCACTAATCTCATCACAAAACCCAGGTCTGTTGGCCACACACAGACCCACAGTTGTTTAAAATCCCCCTTTAAAGGGCAGGAGGCGCAGGACCTTTGCGCCTCCTCTTCCTGGAACTTCGGATGGGCCGAGGCCCCCCTCACTGCCCTGAAAGCCCCGGCTGGCCACTTACGCCACTTACACTGCGGGACGGGACGGGACCGGCGCCCAGCCCCAGAGCACCGATGGCGCCCGGCTGTGCCTCTTGCAGGGCTGGCCATTCCTGCACCGGGGACCGAACCTGCTCTCCCTTCTTTTCTTTCTTTTCTGAAACGCTGCAGGGAAATATCCCGGGACATTTCTCCCTCGCTGTAGAATGGCCACACTTTGTCCCTGCTCTTCAACTCCACGGCTGCTTTTGCCCTTTAGAGGCCTCACTGCGTCTTTCAGTGGGAGATACTTGAGCTTGAACCCGCACTATCGCCTGTAGGACATCAGGACTCTGCAGAGCCCAAGCGCTGGGCTCCTCCCGCCTCCCCTGCTCCCAGCTGCGAGCCCAGCGGTGCCCAGCGGTGCCCAGGGAGAAACCCCCGCGTGCAATGCGCCCACCAGAGCCCCCCCACCCCCATCCTGCAGGGCGTGTTTAGTTTCTCCTAAAATCTAGCCCAAAAGGAGAGAAACGCTTTATCAGGTTCAAAACCATCTCACGTACGAAACTCTAAAAGACGCGGGTATTGGAAAGGCAGGGCCCCCACTTACACAAGCAGGCCTCGGGCGGGGCTGTCCTTCCTCCTCGCTCCGCAGCGGGCTCCTGCAGGCCCGGGCCTCGGTACTTATAGTCCTGTTGTTTACCCCGCCCCGCTCCTGTCCCAAGGCCAGCTCTGGGCCGTGACCTTGTCCCCAGGGCAAACCCCTGAGCTGATGGAGACAATCAACTCCAAAGCTAGCAGCGGGCACGGCCCCAGCCTGGGCGCAGAGTTGGTGGGAGTTTCTGATTTATCCCTTCTTTTCAGACACCCCAGTGTGTGGGATCTAATGGTACGGTCGGGGCGGGAGGAGGGGCTCAGGGGAGAGGGCGTCCAAGGCCCGCGTGCTTCCAGACTGGGACCGGGAAGAGCACTTGCTGAGCCAGCAAGTTAAGCTGCTGATTTTTAAAAAAAGAAAAAAAGAACCTTTTTTCCCTTTCGCTTAGCAGCAGCCAAGCCTAAGCCGGCTGCGAGCCGTCCGCTAGAATCACCTGCTGCTGTCACCAAGCGGCTGGGGCGGCCTCGCTGTGTACCTCCCGAATCTGGGGGGGCCCCGCGGGGCCTCTACTCCGTCCTTCTGCACCCCCCACCTGAGGGAGACCGAGCCTCACCCCGTTCTCTCAAAGCCCTACCCCCGGAGGGCCTGCGCACCCCACAGGCTTTTGGACCGAATGTAAAAATCTTTACAAAATCAGTTCCAAACAAATAAAAGTCGACAGTGACAGTAGTTGGACATGGAAAAGGGTGTGGACATGTCATGACACAGAAATAAAGTGGAAAATCCCCACTGTCCAGTTCTTCTACATCTTCACCACTGGTCCCCGAGTGGTCACGCACGGATTTAACCCATGTTTTCAGCTAGACTCTCACCTTTTATGGTCTCAGGCGGTTTCCGTGGAGAACAGGCCCCTGTGGGTCCAGGATGTGCTTCAAAGAGAGCAGGGCTCTGGGCTGTGGTTTTGTAAATCAGTTCATTAGCTACAGCAGGCGATCCCTCGGCGGCGGCCCCTTCGCTGCTGCAGGGAGGGCCCGTGTAGCCTTTAAGGCCCTGAGCCTGGCGTCAGGCGGTGGCTGGTGTACATGCGACGGAAAGTGAGGGCTCCCCCGCACCGTGGGACACAGTGCCTTTGACCTGAGTTATTCCTCCTTCCCTTGCATGGGTCCCAGAAAGCGCCCCAGACCCCCTCCGGAGCGTCGCACCAAAGATAATGTTGTTTGGGCGTCCGTGTTGAAAGACACGCAAGGCCAGCCTAGCCAAGAGCAAGATGTTTTCCGAGCGGACAAGACAAATGAGAACAATGGCGGGAGGAAGGCGGCTCGGAAGAGATAAGGAGCCGTTGGATCCTTTGAGATTCATGCAGAAACAAACTTGCTTTGCAGGGAGCCTCTCCTCAGGCTCCCAGGCTGCAGATCTGAGGACCGTTTGGAAGATCAAACGTAAGTGCTGCTCAGGAGGGAGCTCCACACGGCGCCAGATTGCATGTGGGGCTGAGCACATTCAGGGAGCAACAAACACCAGAGGAAGTTTTGCTCGAAATAGGATGTTATTAATTTTTTAAAAGGGAAAGATATCCAAAGGTAGTGCCTGCAGCTCCTCAGGGGACACGGTGTTGACATCAACATGCAAGAAGCATGTAGGGGCATCCAGTGACCCCCAAACATGAATCCCTGAATGACCGAAACACCTGCATTTATAGAGCGTGCGTTTGTGTTTGGACCTACATTCAGCCAAACCAGGTACACACGTATGTTAACAATGTGCTAATTGACAGAATTCTGACAATTTTTTAATTTTTAAAAATATTTTTTTATTGATTTCAGAGAGAGGAAGGGAGAGGGAGAGAGAGGGAGATAGAAACATCAATGATGAGAGAGTCATCGATCGGCTGCCTCCTGCACACCCCCTGCTGGGGACCGAGCCTGAAACCCGGGCATGTGCCCTGAGAACTCAGAGATCTCCTGGATCTGCTGGCCAGGCTCATTGGTTGGTTTTTTTAAAACAATGACAATGATTATTAATGATTTTTAAAACATTCACTGTTTGAAAAAATAAATAAAATATGTTAGGCAATTTTTAAAGTATTTTCATTAACATTGAATTGTTAACATCATGATAACATTTTAAGAGTTGCATACTGTTAAAAATCAATTTCTATAAACTTATTTTTAACTTGTCTTTCAAAGTATCAGTACCAGAGTTTCTCGTTAGTTTTTTAAACTTGAAGTATTTTTCCACCTGACACTTTCCAGCTGCATTTGCCTCAAACACACACACCTGTTGTACTTAGCGAGGGACTGAGGGGTTTTAGTCACGTGCAGCCACGTGAGACAGAGGGAATGTGCAAAGTGGGATCCTGACTCGGACCATCTGCCCCGCACCAAAGGTAGGATGGATCCCCAGTCTTCGTGACAGAAAAAGCAAATTAATGTCATAATTAACCAGCACTCGAACTAAATGTGTGGGTTTGATCAGCGACTCCTTATGTGGGTTTAATGATTTTTAGAAAACTGCTTTCCCAGAAATATTTCTGGCAAATCTTACGCCATTGTTCAGACTGGTATTTGGGGTGGATTTCATGGAATTTCTTCCTAAGTGTCCCATCTGGTTTTTTTCCCCAAATCTAAAATGAACTGCACCTGTTTCATAGTTGCTCCTAATCTTGTGTTCTCTAATGAATGACCCTCGCCTATTATATTTTTCATGCACTAGCGAACTGGCAGCCCAGCAGGCAGCGCAGGGTTCCTGAAGGCAGGGCTGGCTGCACTGTCTCTGGCTCAGTTTCAGGAGATACTGAGGTCAAAGGACCCTCTAAAGCTAAAATCTGAGTGAGAAGCTGAGGTTTGTAAAAGCCCAAATTAGTCAACAAACTAAGGGGAGCCAGTGGCGGGGCTCAGAAAACCGGGTGGGGAACTGGAGGGAGAGATCAGGGAGTCTGGACCCTGGGCCGGCCCTGCTGACAGTAACTGGCTCTCGCGTCCTCAGCGGGGCTGTGTGGGGGCCGCAGAGGCTCCAATAGGCACTGGAACACGTTACAGCCGCTCTCAGGCCCTGGGGCTTCGGAGCCACAACAGTGGAGGCCCACCGGGCAGTTTGATACAAATTATTGATTTTTTATAAGTATTTGCAAGAATGTGTAAATGATGATAAATTTTTCCATAAGACTTATGAAATAAGTCCAAATTCTGGAGTTATAGAATCCTATTGAAATCCCTCTGAAATTCCTTATAGCCCAAACGGTGATCCAAACGTAACAAAGCAGATCAACTGCTTGAAATTATTCTTATCTTGGCCATTTCTCACGGTCAGAGCCGCCAGATCGCTGACGAAGCTCAGGCACGTATTCATGTCCTCACATGTCCTAGACGTGGAAAACATCGGTCTAAGGAACTCCTCCTCAAAACAGGTAATGCCTTGGAACAAGCAGCTAAAATCATTTATGCTCATTTTCCTAAAAACTTAGAGAGCTTTCTGCTGTGTGTCTAGCATGCTATAGAGAGGCAAGCTTACACAGCTGAAACATTTTCTCCAGGGGCACTCCTCTCGCCTCAGTTAAATCAACATTTCAAGACAACCTGCTTTAATTTTCTGGCGTTTTTAGTTTGTGGCTTCGTTTACACGTGTAGGTAGCACCAAAAGGTCTTCTGGGATTTGTTGATTTCTCAAAACTGAAGTGTTTTCTGCTAGATCTTAATGGAAATGTTAGGAGCTTTCTAACAGATAACCAGTTAAGTGTAAAAAGTCCAGACCAGGTAGCTTTACATAATGGTCGTTAAGAACAATTCAGCTTCTCACAAGAAGAAATCGGGTTTTCATTTGTATCCCAGACGGGTGGAGAGGGGCATATGAGGCAAGTAGGTGTAGCCATTCTCTGCGAGCTGTTCCGCGACCCCTTTTAACCTGATAATATGCCGTGGACAATGTGTAGAGATACCTCATTCTTTTAAAAAATTGCACATGTCATTCATCTGAATCTCAGAACATGCCCGGGCCCAACCTTGGCTGCTCCAGCTTCAGCCTTGGACTTGCCCACACTGTGGGTTCCGGCTCTGCTCCCCTTTGGCAACTCCTCGGGTGCTAACCTGGTCGTGTTATTAGCTGACTTGGCTTTGGCCTTCTGGGCAAGGTTTTCACTCCGTGACCACATGTGCAGTTACGTCGTCATTATTTCAATCTCAGGACTGACGAGGCCCATGACCCTGAGGGCGTCGCCAGCCAGAGGGGATGAATCCAAGTGGCCTTTCCTAGGGCTCCTCAGAGCGGCTGCCTCCCCCGCCACCCCCCAGCCCGAGCGCTTTCCCTCTTCCCTCCAGGTCAAACCTAAGCGCAGGGCTAGGAGTTCAGGCTCCAGAGCCAGATTGCCTGGGTTCATGTCCAGCTTTTCTACTAATTAACTACATGACCTTGGGCAAGTTACGTAACTCAGTGCGTAGGTTTTGTCATGTGGGAAATGAGAACAATAGCAGCCCGGCTAGGAGGCCCCCTGACGGCCACCCGATGCCCTTTTCCTCCCCCCGTCCTTCGCTCCCCAGCTCCGAAGCCTTTAGGGAAGAAAGGAGAGACTGAGGAATCTCAAGAGGGGGCAGGAAGAGGTTAACCCAAGAACCATAAGCATAACCCAGGGACACAGACAATCGCAGGGTGAAGGCTGGAGGCGGGAGGGGCCCCTGGGGGGAAAGGGAGGCACCTGTAATGCTTTCAACAATAAAGATAAATTTTTAAAAAATAAAAGCAAAACAGCCTCTGGTTCTCAGCCAGTCCTGCAGCTGGACAGTGCTAACCAGTGGGATGGAGTGGGAGTGGGAACTTTGCCGGGAGCCCCAGGGAAGCTTTTCCTGCCGCTGGTCAGCACTGTGGCTCTAGCTCCCTGCTGGGGCCATCCGATGCCTGCAGGGACTCAGCATTTCGCAGCCTGAAGATAGAAACCTGGGCTCAGGTGCGGCAGAAATCCAGCGGGAACCGGGCCCTGGGCGGATCCCCATGGCCCGCATCTGCCCAGGCTGCTGTCCTGGGCTCTCACGTGAGAAAACACAGGCCTCTGCTTGATGATGCCACGTGGTCGGGTTTCCCTCCCTTAACAGCTTGGTGGTTATGAAGATTGAAAACGAAACCACGTGGAACGAAGTCTTTTGTGACTTTGATTGGACTCGCATGGAATCCACAGGCCAATCTGAGAACTGAGTTTTTATGAGGTTACCCTTCCGGCCCGTGGACTAAGGCTGCCAGTCCACTTAGGGCGCTGTGCGGGGGTGCAGTGTGCTCTTCAA